TTTTTGTATTTTAGGGAAGGGTCTACAGGGTGTTCAGGGTCTCACTATTAGATTGGACTCATAGTGATCCACCTGTTTACAGCCTCCCAAGAGCTGGGATTACAGTTATGCACCACTATGCCCAGTCTCAATTGCCATCTCAGCACACTCAGGGGCAGGGATCAAACCCCTGGCTCCTGTGCCTGCTTGCAGGTGCTTTAATCCGCTGGGCTATCTGGCCAGCTCCGATGTTTTTACATATACATCTATAACTAGATACTAATATTTGAAGTGAGAGAAAGCATTATGCCATATCATCCTTCTAAAAAGCAAGCACTTATGATAATAAAATCAGGTCATTTCTTGAAATGAGATCCATTGCTCTTTCCTACTTTTTCCAGAATTAATTAAAAGTGTGTTCCCAAAAGAATAATCCTGGTGAAGGAATACTGGTGGTTCCAGCAGCTACAATTGAGATGAATGTAAAAGGTTAATTCCACTGGAGCGAAGAGAGGAAAGAAAAGTTCTCAGATATGGACAGAATAAATGAAATACTAACTGTTCCTTACCTGTCTTGCATTTTGAACCATGGTGAGTCTACAATGTCATTCTCCTGTCTCAGTTCCCCAAGTGCTATTATTATAGTTGTGCATCATCACACCCAGCACATACAGCCTTCCTGGACAATAACTATCATTTAAATATGTATAACACATAAGCTCCAAAGCCTACTAGAGAAATACTATACTGACAAAATAACCCAGAGTCAAGGAAAGAACATAAAACCTATTAGCTTTATGTGTGATGTGGTGTGGCACACACCTGTAATCCCTCTGGAAAGCTGAGACAAGAGGATACAAACTGGAGTCTACCATAAGCACTTTGGTGAGATCCTATCTCAACATTTAGAAAAGAAGAAAGAGAAAGAGAGAAAGGAAGAAAGAAAAAAATAAAAAAAAGGTTGGGGGTATTGGACAGTGTAAAGACCCAGAGTTTAATTCCCTCTACAAAAAAAAAAAAAAAAAAGCCTAAAAAACAGCCTATGTTACTCTTCATACTTGGCAACTTCAGTGAACAGTATATTGTTGTTCATTTAAAACATTTTGATGTTTAATCTACTAGTTGGTTTTAAACCTAATTTATCAACCAAATCTATCAGTATTGCTTCTCATATTTTCTATCATTTTGTGTATCACTTTGTTTGATCACATTTGCTATCATATTCTTTCAGTTAGTTGTAAAAATTAAAATGGTAGGGGCCGGGGAGATGGCTCAGTAGAATAAGTGCTTGCCTGGCAAGCGCAAGGGTCTGAGTTCAATCCCCGGTTCCGCAAAAAACAAAGGTATTTACTTTTTTTTTTTTTTTTGGTACCAGGGATCAAACTCAGAACCTTATACACTTGCCAGGCAGGCGCTTATGTCGCTAAGCTTTCCCTGCCTTAATTTTTAAATAAAGACACTCATTAGTAGGACAGGCAAAATAATACTAATAAACAAACAATATAAAATGATTCCAAGAGTTCAAATCCAAAGCAGAATGTAGATGTACATACTTTATCAGACTTTAAATCAGCCAATGAAATAGTATGCAAATGTTTTACATTTCAAATTTATGAACATTAAGATAAATCCAGCTGAATAATTTATTTCACAATGCATTCATGCTTTACACTTTCCCCTCTCATTTCAGCACAAATTGGTAAAAATAAGATCAGCAAAGCACTGATTTCTGGTTTAATGAACATTGATGAAAAAACTGACCTTTTAAAAATGACATTTTACATAGATTTCTGTTGGTTAGATGCCCTCTTCCAACTACCCTTTCTGGCTGAGTATTAAAAACTTTTGCCAATTATCCATATTTCTAGTAAGCAGCCACAGTATCAGCAGTGCAAATATCTGAACCACATATTTTAGTTTAAAATGGAATATATACACACAGCTTTTTTAAAAAATATGACAGTATCTCACTATTTAGTTCAGACTGTCCTTGAACTCATTGTGTAGCCCAGGCTAGTCTAGAATTTAGGATTCTCCTGCCTCAGTCCCCCAAGAGCTAGTATTACAGGTGTGTACCATCATACCCAGCACATACAGCCTTCCTGGACAATAACTGTATCACTTAAATATGTACAATACGTAAGCTCCAAAGCCTATAATTTATATACATAGCTCATTTTATTTTTCCTTTAAGTCGTTCACATTCAGTAACATGTTATCATAAACAAATGTGAATTTCAGAAATTTCAATTTTACTTTTTTTTCTGAGGTAGTCATTAATTTTTACATTTCTTTCAGGTAGTGAACATATGGTTCTGTTATAGGAACAGGTTGCTTTGTCCCCCAGTCAACATGTAAACTACATTTCATGAAACACATGAACTCTTTCTGGGCTTATGGATAAATTTTCCTGAAATTAGCAAAATATAAATGCAAATTTTCATGGGAAAATGACTTAATTTCCATTATGATTGAGATACTCTAACCACTACAGGAGCTATTCTAAATCATATAAATCACTGTCCTGAAAATACACATTAAACATGTGCTATAAGATGTGCTGATTAATTGGTAAACTGAGACAAGGGTGCTTTCTTGTTAGGAACGGAATTTCAGCATTGCTGATTAAGCTACACAAGCAAAGGTTTTATATATTTAACAGAACCACTGAATTAGAAAGTCAGGAAGCCTGAGATTTAGTACCAGTTTTATTTGTAACTAACCATGTACAAATTATCTATAAAATAATAGTTAAGATCTATTCTCTAATTCACAAAAATATCAGAACGAAAATTCTCACTGTAAATCAAGATAATATTTAGCCTCAGCTTTAACTCAAATGTTGAGACCAACTGAAGGATTTATCTTGCATACATCAGTTACAGATCTTAATTGTGCATATAAATAATGTGGTTGAGATAAATATTATTACAGTTCAACCTTATAGAATATAAGCTAACAGTGGAAGCTAACTGGCCCTACTGTATGTAACACCATTGAGAAATACTTGTCTATGTTAAAAGCAGAGCTTATAATATCCCTGATAGCAAATCAAACAAAAACCAACCTCAGGCATGTCTGAAGATAGTAGCATGTCTACTCTTTCAAAGGAATATGTATCACTAAACAGGCATCTTATTTCTCTAAGGTAATGTTAAAAAGGAACATCTTGTAGACTCTTCAAGTGGCCAATTAAAATGAAGAGTATGTTATTTGTGGAATATTTTATCTTTTCTCTTTCCCTCTTTTTCATTCAAAATTTCAGTTAATCTGGAACAGATTTCTCTGCTGGAGTGTAAGAAATACTAACATTCTGTCACTATAGGAGAATAAAAAAGAATTAGCATGTTATTGTACAAAGATTCAGGAGGATAGTTCTATGTGGGTACAGAAAACTTTATACACAATGAATGTCTACATGTACACCATTTATCAGGCACATGTATTATGACAATCCTACAAATTAATGAACCTTCAAAACATAAGCACCTACATTATCTTGTATTAACTGTCAGTTTTGTGTAATTTAGCCTCTACTTCTGGACTTTACATATGGTGAAAGAAACAAAACCTGGACTATATTTCACAGTGGAACACAAAACAGGAACAAACAGTATAATAAAATAACTACATATATCACTCCTTAGGGATTTTTTTTTTCTTTCTTGGAACCAGGGATTGAACTCAGGCCCTTGCACTTGCCAGGCAAGTGCTTATTCTATTCAGCTATCTCCCCGGCCCAGAAAATATTTTTTAAGAAACATATTTTCACTGTTGGCCCCAAATGCCTTTACCCATTTATGATCTTTGTCAGATTTTTATACAAAAATACTTGTGAGCTGATAATCAAGAACATTTATAGTGACTTATAAAACTGAAAATATTTTGATACTAAACAAAAAGTTTCTTCTACACAGCTTACAGTTTTCAAGTTGTTTGTGGGCCCTTGACTTTAGAGTCGGTAGACAGTTTAACTGCTAATTTCAATAAAGCATAATTTTTAGCTTTTTATTTCCAAAAACAACCTCACAAAAACAGTAAAGAATAAATCGCCTCTTGCTAAAAAAATCTTCTAAGATGAACAGTAAAACAATATATCCAAAATATTTTAGGGGTGCAAGTAAACTTTAAGACAAGGCATGACCAGTGGGTAAAGATTTATATTACCCAATTATATTTCTAGTGAAAAAACATGGTCTTCATCTGAGTCAATGAAGGATGTATCAAGTAAAGAGCAAGATGAACTTACAAAGCAAGTTAGTTTAGTTTTTAGAATGGTGCTTAAAATTGGCGACACTATTAGAATGGATTTTTTTCAAGACAGAAAATTTGTTACATTTAGCAAATATTGTATATTCCAAAATAAAAACTGAAATTCCTTTAAAACAATGGAATATTGATTTTTGTTTGTTTGTTTTTTGGCCTGCTCAGTGCATCATGTGGTGCTAGGATACAACCAAGATCCCCTGTGCCTGTCTAAGCTTACTTAAGCAGGCACTTTAGACCACTGATTTATCTCGCTGGCTTTGGAATACTGGTTTTTAAAAAATGATGTGCCCTTGTAAGGCCAGTCACACATTATCAAAATAAAGTCACCCATAAGTAATCTTATTATATATATCCAAATTTTTTTGTAGAAATAAAAAGCAAATTAACTTTAACAAACTACATTTAACTTAGAATACTAAAAACTAACACTTTTGTAAATCTATTGTCATTATTCTGAAGGAAAATATATACCTTCAAAATCCTATCAACAATTCCCAGCTCATTGTCACAAATTTATAAGGTAAATTCTCTGTGGCACTAAACAGAATTTAAAAACTAGCAAACTAAATTAGGACAATCAAAACAAACATATTAATCCAAAAGAAAAAAAGGAAGAAAACCCACCAAGCACTCTTATCAATTATGTAGCTCATTTTTTGCATATTTTAATTTTAGACTTTTAGCAGAATAAATTGTTAAATGGGTTGGTGTTAGAGACCAAACTTTGTAATTAGTATTTCCAAATATTACCCTTTTTTTCAACCAAATCTGCATTCCTAATCAACTATTCTTTTTCCAGGAAAAAGGATGTCATTTGAAGAAGCACTGCACACAGCAGTAGTAACATCATAGTATTTCAAGACATTTACAAAGAACCCTGCTGATCTGGTACATTACGCTGAGGTGCTACCTGTACCCAGACTTCATCATCAGAAAAAGAACTGGAGCTTCCTGACTCAGACTCCAGTTCGCTGAACCCATCTAAATCCCATTCAGTACTGGACTCACTCCGCGTATCGTCTTCTTCAGTGATGAAACTCTGACCAGGTTCAAGGCAGGAAGGATAAACACGAGCACAGAGACAAATGAAACCAGAGTCAAACTGCAAAAGGCCTAACATAGTACCTATATTGACCCACTGGTCTTTTCTAGTATCATATTCATATACAGTCACCCGGTTCTTTTTCCACTGTGGGGTGGTAGAAGTAATAAGCAGTAACTTTTGGTCATGATTGACAATCTGATAGTTGTGGGTCTCTGAATCCAAAGGAATATTACTAATCCGTCTCCATTCTCCCCTAGCTGGATTGTAGACCTTCATGACTGGGATGTCACAAATACAATAGATTTCATCATTGAAGACACAGGCTTCCTGAAATTCACTTCGCTTAAGAGACGCACAGTTCAGCCACATATTATGACTAGGATCATAGCATAGCATGCGCTTACTGTTGACAGCATAAAGATAGTTCTGAACGACTATTAGTTCAAAGGAATAAAAGGAATGGGGCACCGGCGCCACCAGAGCCCACTGGTTCCGCTGAACACTATAGCATTCCACATCTTTCAATTTAACTCCAGTAATAGGGTCTCGACCACCCAAGATGTAAATGTAGCCATTGAGATATGCCACATCCATGCCCTCACGACAGAGCAAACGGTCTGCCAGTTGTTGCCAACTATTTTGGGCTGGTTTATACACCCACAGGTCTTTCCTGGGCTGGGCAGCTAAATAGATATCTTGGTCTGGGGAGACACAAACAGCTGAGGATGTGATAGTCTTAGTGTGAGCCAAACTGGTCAAAGGTGATGGCATTGTATAAATGTCCCCTGAGTATGGGTCATAGCAGAGAAAAGGATCTCTGGGATGCCCAAAGAAAATCACCATCTCTTTGGCACACATACCTAATCTCTGGGGTGAATTATCAGCTACAGATACAATACAGCTGCTGCTGCTGCTGCAGCTACTACTGCCTTTGCTATTTGTCTTTGGCACCAGGGACTTGCACAACATGTCACCATAGCGCATCTGCAGGGCCCCCTCAATAATGTCCAGGCAGTACTTCTTCACAATGGGCTTAGTCAGCAGCCCTGCCAGGTAGTCCTGATCTTCTTCAGTGAAGTGTGCCCAGCGAACACACCTGAAGACTTCTGCAGCGCTGGGCCCTCGCTCTTTGGGTGCCGCCTCCAGCCACTGCACAGCCACATGACACACAGTCCTCTCACTCTCTATGTCCAAACTGTCCAGACACAGAACAGCCAGAAGCTGGGCCAGGGTCAGATCTGCTAGAGTCTCTTCCCGAACCGAACCCATTCTGCTCAGCTGCTTGAAATTGTGAGCTATAAACGACTGGGCCTGAGATCGTAGTTTGTGATGGTCAAAGGCATCAGCAAACTTGAGGATGGCAGTGCAGTTGACTAGGTCCAGGCGGCGAGCTAAGAAAGAAGCACAGGCTTCGCGTACATACTCCAGCTGAAGCATATCAGAGGCTGCATAGAGGCGCTGCACATTGGCCTCGCTCAGGGACACGCGACCTGTGTAGCAGTAGTCGACTAACACCTCGAAGGACTCAGCGTCCACATCGTGCATGGTCACACTTGCTTGTTGGCTCTCATACATGCCTCCTGTGAACATGCTCTTGAAGTAGGGGCACGCGGCAGCCAGCACGTTGCGGTTGCAGGAAAATAGGCGGCCAGTGCCAGGCCCGCTGCCAGGTGTCACCACCTCGATGGTCACATCACACAGCAGTCGTGCGTCGTAAAAGGACTTGAGCTGCGCCAGCAGGGCTGCGGAATGGGCCGTGTCCTTTAGTTCCTCTGGGCCTGTGAAAAAGGCCGAAACTGAGGGCTTGGAGATCCTTTTGGGCCTCCTCCCACCGCGGGGACTGGCGAGGCGTCGAGAGCGCGGGACATCTTCCCGGGACTGCATGGTGAAGATGGCGGCGGGACGCCGAGAGCGGAACGGCTACGAGCGCCCGGCTCCTCCTCACCCTTCCTCCGCTGACTCAAGACTCCGAGACAGTGGCGACCAAAACAGACTGAGGGCGCGGCCGCACTTCCACAACTCACACCCACGCCGCCTCCCTTTATCGCCTAGACACTGCCTGACTCACCCTTTCGTTTCCACGCCCTTTCTCCGCCTCAGCCGTAACAGGACCTCCTGAGGGAGCCACTCAGTCTGCCCCTGCCGCGTTGGCGCTTCCGGCCTGCGCCCAGAACTACCACTCCCAGGTTACCTTTCGCACCGCGAGGTATGCTGGAGCCGTTCTGACTCGCGGTCCGAGACGGAGGGACACAAGCCGCTTTGCATTTTGGGAGTTGTAGTTTCTACAATATCGCGAGGTTACTTGAAATTGGCTAACCGCGTTAATTACTTCTCTTAGATTTCAGGTGAAGACAGTTGCTTTTTAAGAGCGGAGTAGGAGACCCATTTTATTAACCTTAGATTGTGTGAATTTTACCAGAAAACCTCTGTCTTTGTAAAATGGGAATAAAGAATAGTTCATAGGTTTGAACGTTGAATAATATAAATTACACAAGACCCTGCATAGGCAACGCACTGCGGCCGGGGTAGTGCCGGTCCCACACCAGGGGCGTGCTGAGAGGGCTATTGAGACCCGTAGTGGTGACGTGTGCGTGTAATCCCAGAGTTTGGGAGGCTGAAAACGGGAGGATCACTGAGTCCAATCTATATAGTGAGACCCTTGCAAACCCTGTACCCAATACAAAAAAAAAAACAAACCAAAACAAAAACAAAAACAAAAATTACACAAGACACTTAAAAATATTAGAATACATAATAAAACTACATCATACCTGGACTGTAAATCAATGATATTTTCATTATGAAAGGGGGCTTGCGGGGGGCCAGGGAGATAGCTCCATAGAATAAGTGCTTCCCTGGCAAGCCATGGGCCTGAGTTCGATCCCCGGTTGGGGGGGGGGCGCAGGGGGAAGAAAGAAAAATAGTGGCTGAAAGTGGGCTTGCAGGTTAGCTCAGTTGTTTAAAGCCCCTGCTTGGGCAAACTCAGTCCGGCACAGCGGACCGCGGTTCGATTCTCAGCTCCATATGCCGCATCAGACCCGCCCTTATGGCATCCTGAGCAAAAAAAGAAGAAAAAAAAAAAATCCTGAGTTTATGAAAAATGAAGTATCCACTAATTTGAAACTCGGTGCCTTAATAATAGTAAAAATTTTTAATTTCTCTGAAGAATGCAAATTTTAATTTTTCTGCCTTTCAAACGTTTGAAAGAATATTCTCAAGAATTTAAACATTTTTGAGACAAGGTCTTGCTTTGCAGTTCAGGCTGGCCTTGAGCTTACTACGTCTTCAAATTCTCATCGATCCCCTTGCCTCAGCCTCCTGAATTCTGGGATTACAGGCATATAGCATCACACCTGTAATATTTTCCATATTAATTGAGATCTCTAGGTCTATTAGGAAATCTTAGATGACTAAATTGAGGTTCCAGGAAAGAGCACTTACAGATATCTCAAATATACAAATGAGGTGTATAACGATATAAGGTTTGATTCCCTCTGGCACCATATCAAAAATATATCTCTAGGGAGCAAGTCTATTTTCATTAAGGTCTTATTATGAGTGTTTTCACCTTGTTTAACAAAGGCCCTTTCATTGCCAAATCAATTGAAGACTGTATATTTGCCCTTATTAAAAAGCCTTAGTGAGAATTTCAAGTAAAATGTTTCAGCAAACCAGCATTCATACATGCCTTGATATTCCTTGAATTAATATAGCACAGTCTATTCTTTACAAGTCTTACATATGTATTGATCAACATTATTAGCTAAATTATCATAATCAAGTAGATATGATTTAGTAAACATTTGTTTAAAAACTAATGATTGCTCTTATGCCGAGCTGGTATGCTGAGTTACCAATACCTAATGAAAAAAAATCTTTGTATTACAGGCATAGTTGAGTAACACAGAGCAAGAAAATAACTTTCTAATTCTTTTTCTCTTCTTTCTTTTCAGGTGAAGAGGATAGAGAACAAATATTTCAGGGTAGAGACATAAAACTAAATTGGGCTTGGGATCCCAATATCTATTGGTACATAAAGAGAGATGTTTCTGACTACCCATGAAATACACCAGACTGTAAAAGAATTAGGTCAGTCAGTATTATTAGTAACATAGATTGTTTCCTTACCTACTGAACTGTTCTTTTACCGACCTGGGGAAAAGCAATTTTTAAGAGCTTTAAAAATCTTGGTAAAATAAATATGCAAGGGACACTGCAAAATGCTTAATTACATATTAAATATATTCATTCTGTACTCACTAAACAGTAAGAACCCATTTTTTCAACTTTGCCTTCATCATTCTGTGACAAGGGAAAAGTAATGCCCAGCCTGATAGGTGTCAGATGTGCTTGAGTTCATGTCTCCCAAATACTGAAGACTGAATTTTGAGGCTGAAGGAAGTTAAAAGTAGAAAGGGTAATTGAGAGAAAGGTACTGAAAGACAGGAAGGGTCCCAAAAATGGATTTCCACTAAGGCTATTTCTCCTAGAATGTGTTATAGAGCAAAATCACAAGGTGGAATCAACATGAGTCAAACTGTAGTCAACCTATAGAACTACAAGTATAGTTGCTTAACTAATATAGATCTAATAAAGAAATGAGGGGCTGGCCAAATAGTTCAGTGGATTAAAGTGCCTGCATAGGCAGACACAGGGGCTGGGAGTTTGATCCCTGGGCCTGCCCTACTGGCCCCGCCTCTGGGGTGTGCTGAGACAGCAATTGAAACTGAGTACCTGTAATCCCAGTACTTGGGAGGCTGTAAACAGAAGGATCACTATGAGTCTGATCTACACAGTGAGACCCTGTAGACCCTTCCTAAAATAAAAAATAAAAAAATAAGGAAATGAGGTATGCAGAAAGGATATGTGACTAGTGTCATTAATTTTAGGTTTTCTAGAACTTCTAACATAGAACAAAGGCATTTTTAGGAAAGGGACAAAAAGGGAGGGAAGATGGGTTCAGAAGTACTGGTTACTGACCTATGTGTCTGATCTGATGGCTATCTGGACTTAAGGAACTAGGTACTGGTAATTATAGTATTATCTCAAAAGTTGCTGTTTATCTCTTAGGGAGGCATGCAGGCCTGGCTCTAGTGTCTCCATCCTGAGTCCTGGCTTTCTTCAAATGGGCCTCCAGCCAGTTTTGTGTTTTCATCTTCTGCAGTACTCCCTTGAGGGCTCATCCCTGTTTGCCTATTAATTTCTATCTAACTTTGCTATCTATAAAAATTCTATGTTGTCTGTCTAAATTTGTCTATTTGGGTGCTTTGTGTAAGTCCAGTAATTAATTTTTAGCTTCCTTATAATTTTCTCCTTATTGGTTTAGGTTACTTTTGGCAGGACCCAATACATTTATTAGATGTGGTACCTTGGTATGGCATAGATTTTTTTGTGACCTGGAAAAATTTACATCTGTGATAATTCATCTGGTAGCCAGAAGCCATACAGAGTTCTGAAATACTTAAAAGATGGCTAGCATAACTCACAAACTGAATTTAAAATTTTAGGAACATGGCATTGACACCAATACAATACAAAGGAGAAAGAAAAGTTTTCAGCAATGAACTTTGGAACAACTGGGTCAGAAGGTAAGACACAAATTAACATTAATACCATCCTTGGATTATGATCAAAAATTGATTTTGAGTAGATCATTGTACTAAATGGAGAAGCAAAAACTCTAATGTTTCTTGTCCACACACACACACACACACACACACACACACACACTTATTTCTGTGGCTTTGTGCTTGGCAGTGTTTTATAACCACAATAAAATCAAATTTAAAAAATGAGAAAATGAACTTTAACAAAATTCTAAACTTCAAAAAGCAATCAAAACAAAAAGATAAGCTATAGTCTGAGAAAATATTGGTAATATGTATATCTAATATCCAAAAACCATGAAAAATAATCAATGTTATTCATCCTGAGGTGAATACAAATCACCTGAGAGAATACCAGAATACCAGTTTAGAATGGCTAAACTCCAAAAAGATACATACTGGTTAAGCTATTGTGCCACTGGAACTCTCAATAATAGTATATATCTATATTAGAAAGTTCTTTTATAGTTTAAACATCTAGTAATTTTAATTATAGGCATTTGCCATAGGCAAATGGAAACATTTATCCATGAAAAACTGATAAGAATTTTCATAATAGCTTTATCCATAGTAGCCAAAATGGGAAATAATCCAAATATATATTAATAGGAGAATGAAAAAAGTGCAATATATTTATACAGTGTAACACTACTCAGAAATTAAAAAGAAACCACCTGTAATGTATGCAATCATGTAAGCAGTTCTCAATTTTATATTGAGTAAAAGAAGCCAGATATAGTCTATGCTATATGGCTACTTAGGTAAAATTCCAGAACCATAAAAAATGAGCTTTAGAGCTGAGGACATAGACTCAGTGGCATAAGCATCTGCCTGGCAAGCACAAGGTCCAAAGTTCAATCCCTGGTACCACACACACACACACACACACACACACACACACAAAGCTTTAATGAGTAGAAATCATAACAACTACTACTACTTTTGCAAGAGAGGTAGAAGGCTGGTCAATAGCTAGATTTATTGGAAAGGAATATGAGGAAACTTTGAGAGTGATGTAAAAGTTTTCTTCCTCTTTGGGCAGGTGGCTCCATAGCCGGATGCCACTGCCAAACTCTATGAACTGTACTCTTCAGATCTGTACATCTTTTGTACTAGAAATTATGCCTTTATGAGGAGCCCCTTTATAATGACTAGCACTAAATCATGATGTAAGCTTTTAAAATAGAAAATCATCTTGAAGATGATTTAATCATTAAGGAAGATTCTTCTGTTTTAAGGTATTGTTATGGTTTGTGTCCAGTTGGCCCCCCAGAGTTTCATGCAGTCATTGAGCTTCTAGAGTTTGTGATTAATTCATGATACAATGTTGAAATTATGGATGTGAGTGCTACACCCATCCTGGAGTGGACAGCCTGGATACAATAAAAGGAGTGGAGAGGCTTGCTAGCTGCCATGGTAGCTGCTATTCTCTGTTGTTTTCCATTTGCCAAGAATGGCTGCCCTCTGCCATGTGGAGCCAGCTGAATATGGACTGAAACCTCCATTAACTGCGAGCTAAACCTTAACTTCCTTAATTTTGGATGTCAGGTATTTTGTCCCAGCAATGAGAGAAAAGTAACCAAGACAGGTATATAGATGAACATTGCAGTTCCCACAAATTACTCAGTAAATGTGGTGCCATACGCATCTGGGACTTGGGTGCTTGCATTCTTTTATCCCTGCCACATCTTTATTATTAGCATCCTTATTTTTTTCAAGTTTTCTTATAATTTGCATAATGTAGTTTAATTGACTCTTCTTGGGAAGAACATAAAAGACCCATTTTTGCCTGGTAATTTTAGTCTTAAATCATCCAAAGCCATAGGTTTAGTTCATGAGCAATCTTTACCTTCATCTCGGTTCATATTTTCAACAATGTAATCTACTCAGGGCCTCCTGAGGAGGTTAAGGCAATTTATTAGTATTTCCCCTTTTCAATTTCTAGAAATGTTTTTTCTTGAAGACCAGATACATTCATCCTAGGGCAGCCCCTCTTATCTTTACTTTTGAATGATGCCACTGATTGACTTCTATAGATGTCTCTGTTTCTTTGGGTTGGTATTCAAGTATCTGGGACACTCTTTCTAGAACCCATTCATCCCAGTTTTTGTAATGTATACCTCATGTGACAGCCTTTACACAGGTTCATTCATAGAGGTTCATGCGAGCACAGCTCCTGTTCACTTACCTTCACTTAGCCTTGGTGCCATTTACATGCGATTCACTACCACCACCTTCTCTCAATTTACCAGTACCATTATTTACTTTCTATGCTAACCAACTCAGCTTCAGAGAAACCATCAGTCACTGCTAGCTCACATCTTGGGCCCTAGAATATTGTTTTATTCTGCTTGTAGGTTATATAGACTGTTCATGCCTTTATTTCTATATTCAAAATTATTTTGTGCCTTTAGTTATTAACTACCACAAGAGTGTTGGTTTACTGCTCCTCAACTGGAAAATGCTCCTTGAAGGGCTGGCCAAATAGCTCAGTGGATTTTTTAAAGTGCCTGCTAGCAGGCACAGGAGCTGGGGGTTTGATCTCTGGGCCTGCCATGCTGGCCCCACTCCGGAACACGCTGAGACTGCAATTGAGACTGGGTATGGTGGCGCATACCAGTAATCCCAGCTCTTGGGAGGCTGTAAACAGGGATCACTATGAGTCCGGTCTAGTAGTGAGACCCTAAACACCTTGTAGACACTTCCCTAAACACACACACACACACACACACACACACACACACACAAAAAAAAAATACTTCTTGAGCTGCCTGCAGACATGGATTCTATTGTAAATATTTATCCACAGCTCACTTGTTTTAAACCTGACATATAGTTTTTTTGTTTGTTTTGGGGGGCAGGGTCTCACTATATAAAGTACTCACAAATTGAATAGCAGGTATTGTAGATCCTTGCTACTCCAACCGTTATCTGTATTACAGCAGTCTCTGCCATAAGCACGGAGCTTGTTAAAAATACAGACTCATAGTCTCCAAAACTACTAAACCAAAATGAGCATCAACCAATGATTTGTATGTATTATATAGCTTTATGGAAATACACAATCTGAGACTTTTGTAAGTTCATAGCTCTACAATTTGTTTTGATTCCTTTGTCCTCCAAATAAAGTAAGTGCCTTAACGAAAACACAAAGCTAGAGAAAAAGGGAAGAGTAAAGAGATGTGAAGCCAATACCACAGTGAGTCCATAACAGAGAAAATGGACACATTAGGGTATCCCTTGCTTCATTGAAGACAATTTTCCCTTGTATTTTTTCCTCTTAAGACTCTTTTGTTTTTGTTGAGACAGGGTTTCTCTATGTAGTTCAGACTGGCCTTGAATTTGTGATCCTTCTGCCTTAGTCTCCCAAGTATTGGGATTACAGGTGTGTGCCACCATGCCTGGCTCTTAAGACTCCAATGCAGAAGAAATAATCTCTTAAAACTCAACGTGATAAGTCATAATCTGATCATCTCTGTTGTATTCTGCTTGCAGAAGAGTCAATACATCTCATCTACACTTAAAACGGAGATTACACAAGAGCTTGAATGCCAGTAAGAGTCTCTGGGGTGATCTGAGAAACTGCCTACCACTGTAAGGAATCAATGTTTATATGATGCCAAAGTGTTATCCCATACAGATACATGCTGTCATGTTAAAGACCAAACTGTCAATGATAAACATAGCTGACTACTAAAGAGATTAAAAAGTAACTACTGACAAGAGAGGAAAACAGTGAGCTCCACTGGGATTTTTCCCAAGGTAAAGTGGACATTTTAAGGAGAAATGAAGTAGAAGAGAGCGAAGAAGTTTAGTAGAGTCAGTGAAATCATATAAATGGCTGGTCAGAGTAAATGTGATGAGGATTTGCTAGATTGCTGTGACCTGAATGAGGATTCTATCTGCCCACAGACACTGAGAGACTGAGGAACTGTCTTCATAATTACATTTGAGAGGAATGATTGAGGTCCCTGAGAGAGATGCTTTAGTAATAAGAGATATTTATACTTCTAGGCCCCTTTTATTCTCTTAGGATTACAATTTTTATTTATTTTTTATTAAAGTAATAGTCTTAATTTTGACATAATTAATAGTACCAGTATAATATATCCCAGCACTCAAGAGGTTGAGGCAACAGATGTCAAGTTTGAAATCAACCTGAGTTTCAAATAACAAACAATTTGGACTGCTTATTAAAACAGAAAATACACCCTCAAGTCAAGAAATGTGACACTGGGGCCGGGGAGATGTCTCAGTGGAATAAGCGCTTCCCTGGCAAGTGCAAGGGCCTGAGTTCAATCCCCGGTTCCGCAAAAAAAAAAAAAAAATGTGACACTGATTCATTTATATTTATATTTATTTATAGCTTCATTTATGAATATTCATAAATATTTCACTGTCTTGATAGGCCCATTCCATTTATATAATAATAAATAATAAATCAGCGATTTTATTTTACTGACTTAAGGTTTTCATCCAAAAGTTCAACAATGGCTTCTTTATTTGCTGACTGAAGCAGTCTCTGAATTAGCTGATCCAGGCACTTTTTGCCACATAAAAATTCCTGGTAAAAAACAGTTGTTAGGAGAAATTAACACCATAAGCTAGAATGTCCCCCAAAATTCTAGGCATTAAATGCTTAGTCCTTAGCTTGGCCTGAAAGGATGTGGAAACCTTCAAGAAGTGGGAAGGGCCGGGGAGATACCTCAGTAGAATAAGTGCTTGCCTGACAAATGCAAGGGCCTGAGTTCAATCCCTGGTTCCTTAAAAAAAAAGAAGTGGGGCCTAGGTGGATGTCTTGGGTCCTTGGGAATGTGCCCCCTGGAAGGGGCTTGTGGGATACTGGTCTCTCTCTTTTTGCTTCCAGTCTATGAAGTAAATGACCCTGTATACCACACTCTTCCATGATACACTCTGCCACCACAGGCCCAAAGCAATGGAGTGGATCAGCATTCCCAGCCTTCATTGCTAATCCTCTAAAACTGAGCCAAATTATACCTTCCCCCTTTTAAGTAATTTACTTTGTTATCTGCTACAGAAAGCTAACTAAAACACCTAATCATTAGAAATGAAGAAAAATTAATTCCTAAATTATTCACTCCTACTAGCCTCTTTACTACTCTTCACACAGATTTTTCTTCCAGTACTGCAGACTGAACCCAGAACTGTGTACATACTAGTTAAGTGTTCTGCCTCTGAGCTATATATCCAGCCCTTTTTAAATTTTTAGACAAATGATTTCACTAAGTTGTTCTTTCATTTGTGATCCTCCTTCCTCAGAACACTGGGTATCTGGGATTAGGCCATATGCCACTACATCTACCTAGATTTTTAAACATTTTACTTATAATTGACAAATCAAAATTATTCATATTATTTTTGGTATACATTATGATGTTCTGCCTATGACTACAATATAAAATGATCAAATCAAGATAATCAACAAACCCATAAACTTATACATTTATAACTTTTTGTGGTGAAAAATTAGAAATCTACACTCATGGTAATTTAAAATATACAATGGATTATTTACTATAGTAATTATTCAATGCAATGAATCACTGCAGCATATTCCTCCTAGGTAATGGAAACTACTATTTTTTTTCTTTTTAAATGTATTTTGTACAGGATCTACAGGGTCTCACTAGAAAGATCACACTTGTAGTGATACTCCTGTTTTCAGCATCCCAAGCACTGGGATCACAGGCACGTGACACCAAACCCAGTCTCAATCCTTGTCTCAGCGCACCCTGGGGCTGGGGCCAGCATGGCATGCCAGGGATCGAACTCCAGTCCCTGAGCCTGCCTAAGCAGGCGCTTTAGTCCTCTGAGCTATCTGCTCAGCCCTAACTTTGTACTCTTTAATCAACATCTTCCTTCCTCATCTTCCTATTTACTACTTCAATAGATTTTTATGATTTACTACTACACTTTTTTCATGGTGTTTTCAAACTATTTCTTTTCATTAAGATGGAATCTTTTCCTTTTATCCAATACGATGGTCAGTGATTACTGCAACATATTACTATAATTTTGTTTATTATTTCTAGGTCTTTCATGCTAATTAATAATAATCAGCACTTAGGTTGACATCAGATATACTATAGCTATATATAAAAGCCAGTTACTCTGCCTCTGTTTTGCAAATGAAACAGTCAAATGTGCCTATGAGCTCTTCTAAAAAAGTTACTGATCATAAGGATGTGACTTTTGTAGGGAAAAGTATCACCACCAAAAACAACTGAAAGAATATAGTGTAAAGAAGCTGGACTCACCCCCTCCTCCCCCGTCGCCCCAAAGGATACTGGTCACAAAAGACAAAGGTTCTATTTAAACAAAATGTCCAGTTTGCAGACCAAAATTAGAGAAAAAGGAGGGATACAAAGAAAGCCAACATTTTGGCCCTAGCCTTCTAAGGTCAATTAAGACTCAGGACATATGAGAACTTGTACTGTAATGTCATGTACCTCGGTAGTGTCCCAAATTTTCTGATCAAGATTATGGGGCCAAAAAGGAAAGTGATCGAAGATGTAGAGTGTCTTAAGGAGAGTCACATGGGGAGAAAGCACTCTCTCAGGCTTTCACAGAGAGCACATTGGCCAAGCAATGGCCATGACTCATCCACATGGCAGCACTGACAAAGGTTCTACAATCTGAGGTACAAGAGCTCAGGATAAATCCTGAGGGCATTTCACTGACCTTCTCAGACCAAAAAGCTACAACTCTTGTTGCATAGGTCCTGCTTTACCTTGGTCTTAACCATCCAGTAGAAAAGTATGAAGACGAAATATAGGAAATAAAGCCATGCTGTTAAGTTGAGCTGTGGGGGACTCAGTTCAATAATTTCTGACATTGCCAGTTAAACAGAAGACCCAATGCTATTATGGTCTACTGGACTCTTTTAGAATATTTTGCTGAGTTTACACACCTATAATATTCAATAACGGAACTTTAAAAAAATGGGGTATAACTATGAATGTCCATTTTGTATCTGTGTATTCAAAGTGGTTGGGATAGATATATAGTTGCATTCTCTTAATGAATAGAATGATTTGTTCTAATGGTGTTTGTAAATAGGATCACAAGTCTGCATCTTGTACAGCAATTAACCACTAAGAAGAATATATGCAGTGTATTATTTGTTGAAACTGTACTTCCGATTTGATTTGAAACTGTCTCATTGCTGTTTATCAGTAAAACTTTGAAAAAAAAAAAAAAAAAAAAAAAAAAGGAAAGATTAAAAAAAAAAAAAAATGTCCAGACTAGGTGTTTGGGGGTGGGCGGGGGGGCGGGGGTGGCTGAAGGATGAGGGCCGAAGGGTGGAACTTCTTTTGGGGTAATGAAAACACCCTGCCAGTGATTGTGGTGACAGTTGCACAAAACTGAAAGCCACTAAAATACACACTTCAAATGGGTAAAACAATTTTTTAAAAAGACTGCATGTTTCCTGAGGAAAGGGAAGTTAGCAAATACTTTCTCCTTTTCGACATGGCTACTATGTTTCTATGCAAGAAGTGGTGTAAGATACACTGAAATTGATAAACTTCTTTAAAAAAAAATACACTTCCCTTTAAACTTTTATTTTGAGTACATAATGGATCAGAATCAAGTAAAAGCATTATCACATGGACGAAAGAAAAGGATCAAAACTCTCCCTTTTCCACATAATGCTTTATGGGAATCAGTTCATTTTCCCCTTCGGTGGCAGCAAGAATGAAGTTTTTCTGTGCTTCATCATTAATGTATCAATGTTAGAAGTCCTGGTTAGATGGGATTTAGGTAAGTAAATGTTAAAATAATTTTGAGAGGGTCTCTTCCACATCAGCATAGCTTTAACACCTAATGAATACATATTATAACAGGCAGACTTCTAAAATGCCACTGCTGTACACACCTTTTATAATTCCGTTTTTAGTACATCATGAATAGTTTTACCTTGGGTCAGCCAAATAGCTCAGTGGATTAAAGCACCTGTAAGCAGGTGCAGGGGCCAGGGGTTTGACCCTGGGTCTGCTGTGCTGGCCCAGCTCCCTGAGTGCACTGAGACTGCAATTGAGACTGGGCATGGTGGCACACACCTGTAATTCCAGCACTTGAGAGGCTGTAAACAGGAGAATCACTACGAGTCTGATCTAGTAGTGAGACCCTGAACACCCTGTAGTCCTTTCCCTAAAAATACAAAAAAAAAAAAAAAAGTCTTACCTTAATGTCACGAACTTCATATGCTATCCTGTGGTCAGTGACTCTATCCTGAGTGAAATTATATGTCCGAATTCTCTCTGATTGGGCTCTAGTTCCAACCTGTAGAATAACAAAAAGCAATTCATATCTTAATTACCTTCATCCCAATGGAAAAAGTATTGGTAAATGATTTTTCTATTTTAACAGCTTCAATATTTCTCTTTTTAAGTTATATACACAATGTGACTAAGGAAAAAGCAGGCAGAATTTAATGTTAAGACTACAGGTTTGGGACTAGTGATGTAGTTCTGTGTAGGGTCCATGTTTAACATGCCCAAGGCCTTCAGCTCAATCCTCTATACTACCAAAAAGAAAACCAGGGCTGGAGAGACACCTCAGTGACATAAATGCCTGCCTCACAGATGTAAGGTCCTGAGTTCGATCCCCAGTAGTAAAAAAAAAAAAGAAAAGAAAAGAAAAATAGAATACTAAGGTGCCTGAGAGATAGCTCAGTGGCATAAGTACCTGCCTGGCAAGCGAAAGGTCCTGAGTTTGATCCCTGGTACTACGAAAGAAAGTAAGAAAGAAAGAAAGACAGACAGACAGACAGACAGACAGACAGAAAGAAAGAAGAAAGAGAGAGAAAGAGAGAGAGAACAGAAGAAAAAGAGAAAGAAATTAAGAAAGGAAAAGAAAAAAAAAAAAGAAAACTAACCAACAAAAAACGTAAGTTTGTAGACCTTAGATACAGAATGTGAATAAATGTCTATTTAACATTTCAAACTCCAAATTTTAAAACCAAATTATCCTCTTCCTACCCCTATCAATCAGTTCTTCCTCCTGGTTTCCACCATGAGTTCCCTTTTATTCAAGTGGAAAATTGAATCCTATGCTTTGGTAAGGACTCTGGCACAAAGACTACCTTCAATTCATCCCATTTTTTAACTGCCATTTCTAACTCACATCAAGAATCTTTCATTATATTCTGCCTTTTGTGTTTCCACTATCAGTTCTTTCACCCACATTCCTGTAAGAATTTCCAAATAAAGCTTCCATGCTTTCTGCTCCCATTGTGCTGCTTTGTTTCATGTTTCTATGGCCCAATTTTCTGAGTAAGTTTTCTTTCGTTCTTTTTGTCTACTAAGCAGACACAACTAAATGTTTAAGGCACTTCCTAACATAGCAAATCCTTCCAATGTTATTTCTCAAAGTTATGTAACAGAATCCTCTATAAGGCCACTAATGATACCATATCATTTGTATATGTATTCCTGTTAACACTACCAAAACATCATCTCAGCTGGGTACAGTGGCACATGCCTGAAATTCCATCTACTCAAGAGGCTTGTTTGGGAGGATTAAAAATTCAAGGCCAGCTGGGGAGATAGCTCAGTAGAATAAGTGCTTGCCTGGCAAACACAACGTCCTGAGTTCAATTCCCAGTACCACAAAAAAAAAAAAAAAAAAAAACTTTAAAAAAAAAAAAAAAATTCAAGGCCAGTCTAAACAACGTAGCAGGCTCCAGTCTCAAAATAAAAAATACATAAGGGCTTGGGACATACTCAGTGGTAAAGTGCTCCTTTGCTGCATTCTCCAGGAGTGGAAAAAAAAAATCACCTCACGAAATATGCCTTTCCTACCATCTCTACATTTGTGACTGCAGTAACTGAAATGTATTCAATCCCTTCTTTGAAACCTTTTGCATTTGAAATTTTCTTCATGGTACACCACAGCTCACCTCATATTATGGTTTATTTATATTCTTTTAAATCTGTTTAACTCCCCCTTGTCCCCAAATGATATATTCTCTCTCAATCATTTTTACTTCTGTTTTTTTTTTTTTTTTTTTTTTTTT